CATTTATATTTTCTTAGGCATTTCTTTGTTTTTTTTTTTTTTTTTTTTTTTTTTTTTTTTAACGCAATATACCCCCTGTCCCCTGTATAAAAAAGAAGGAGTTACTTGAAAGAACACCTAGAGAATGGTGTGAGTATGTGCGGACTCTAACCACTCAGTAGTAATGAAGGATCGACTCCGTTTCCTGAGGATCAATCCAACCAATCGAACTCTGCTTCATCTCCCAGGAGATGACTCTAAACAAACACGATGGACTTCTTACGGATACTAGAGGATAAAAAGACAGCCAACCATAACCAAAGGGAGCCTCTGGTGCTTTAATGCCAATCTCCCAGCGCTGTGACCTTGCTCTGCTATCTCACTTAATTTTGTTAAATAAAATAATTATTTACTTATACAGAGCCAGACTCTGTCGTTTTAAACACATGATATGGTGAAAGCCAACAATCTCCCCCTCCATTTTTCACATGCAGGACAAGGATTGTTGGCTGATGGTGCCCTCCTCAGGAAGCTCTGAGGAGTCACGTGGAATCCTCACCTAAATTAACTTTTCCCTGTTTTCTTTCGCAGGACAGGATTTTCCTCGACACAATATGCCAGGAGGAAAATCTTCCCAGGTTTGCTGACTGCTGTGCTAAAAAGGATCCTGAAAGAAATGACTGCTTCCTCTCCCTTAAGAATTCCTCAAGGGGGTTCACTTCTCCTTTTCAAAGGCCAAGTGCTGAAGCTGCCTGCAAAAACCACTCACAGCATCAACATTCGTTAGGAGGACAGTAAGTAAATAAACTGCAGATTCGTTGCCTACATATGACTGTTACAAGCCTGGAGATGGCAAATGTGGCATCAACTGAGAAGTTCAGTCTAAGGTTCTCTCTAATCTCAAACTCATTTTTCTTCTTAATGTGAATTATTTGCATAATTCATCTGGCTGTAATTGTCATCATATGAAGCTTGTTCTGCCACCTTCTGCTTTGGAGATGGCTTCAAATGACAAATTATCTGCCCTGTTTTATTATAGCCCATGTAAAAGGCTCATCTGAAAGGACCTCCCTTTGGCCCTTAAAAGCCAAGTAAAAGTTTTGATGCCTCTAAGCCAGAACTGGCAGGATTTGAGACTTCAGCTTCCAGGAGAATGTCAGCCCCATCAGAATTTTCCTGGATAAACCCCACACTCTACAGCTTGTCGTGATGACAGGAAGACAATCCCTTTGAGCAGTGTCAGTTTACTGTATGCCAAGAGCTGCAGTAACACTGCTGCCCCTTACGTAGGGGCGTACTCCCAAACTGAAGACCTTTCCTTCTTGCTTTCAGTTTCATCTATGAGCTTTCCAGACAGCATCCCTTCCTCTACGCCCCGACCATCCTTTCTGTCGCTGTCCGCTACGAGGAGATGGTGCAGGACTGCTGTGGAAGCGCAGAAGATCCCGCTCCTAATGCAGAGGAATGTTTTCGGAGACAGGTATTCCAGGGCAGGGTGTCAGGGGACCCATGTGTGGCCAGGGACTCTCCCATCACTATACAAACACTGAAGCAGAGATATGAGCCATTCCTTTTTCTGCATCTGAACCCAATGTTAGAATTCACCTTATTAAGGACAGGCTGAAATTGGACTTAAATTCTTTCTTGAATTACAGCCTGAAGCCCTAAAAAAAAATAAATTCCCAACTCACCCAGGATGAGAACAGGAGGATCTGGGAGGGAGGGAGGGATCGCTGCAGGGGCATCGGTTAGTGGGTGGTGAGCAACTGCCTTGTGCAGCACTTGTCTTGGGCTCCACTTCACTTTTTGTTATAGTCCTTTTCATTACAATTATTATTATTATTATTATTAATTTCATTACTGTTATTATTAGAAGTTTGAGCATAAAGCATCCTTTTCTTTTCTTCCCCGTTCATGATATGCATCTTCTTTCTACCAGACACCAAAGGTGGTGAAGCCACTAAAAGATGGCCTGAGGCAAGAACACATGTGTGGAATCTTGAAGAAGTTTGGAGAAAAGACCTTAAAGGCCCTGTGAGTCTTGCCCATATTTATGGTTAAAGGTGGATGTTGTGTGTCTCTCCTAACCATTTCTGACAGGAGGTTGCTCCTGTAATTTCACACTCATCTACTACATTGCCTTCCACCACCTCACATGGAAATTCACGTGAATAAGCTGAAAAATCTCAGCTATTGGCCTCAAGGGACATTTATTTGTTAACTTCAGAGGGAGCAAGGAGAGGCCATTCCTGCACAGTTTAGATACTCCCTCCACAGAAGATCCATCACAGCTCTCACACTGTGAGCAGCAACAACAACGGGTTTTATTCCTTGTAGGAAACTTGCCCAGATAAGCCAGAAGTTCCCTAAAGCTGATTTTGTCACTGTTAACAAGCTGGTGCTGGCTGTCGCTGCCGTGCATGAGGCCTGCTGCCGCGGAGATATGTTGGAGTGCATGCACAGCAGGGTAAGGCTTATGTGGTGGTTAGATCTTCACAGAAACCCAATGCTTCTCTTGTGCTCTCAGGTTATCTCTTTTTTGCCCTCCTGTGCTATACTGATTGCTCTCCACAGCTGGAATTTAACTCTTCAGCCTAAAAACCTGGCTTGATTTTCCCCTTTGGCTTTTCCTGGTGTGAAATCATCCCTAGGATCACTTCAAGACTGAAGTGACCCCACCCTGCTTCAGCAGCTTCAGTTGCAGCTCCTGGATCTTCTGCGCAGAACTCAGCATCTGCCCATCCTCTGTTGCCTTCTAATGCAGGGCTTCAATCTTCTTCTGCCAGATGTACACCGCATGGCGTCTGCCAGCTACCTCTTCTCTTTGGGAGCCACCTTCTCTGTCTGTAGAAGGCAGATAAAAACACCAAGATAAATAAAGATCCAAATCTGGTAAAAATTCCTCCATCCCCTTTTTCTGCTTTCCAGGAGGAGATTCTACACTATGTCTGCACCAACCAAGGCATCCTATCAAGTAAAATTAAGAAGTGCTGTGAAAAGCCACTGTTACAACAAAGTGAATGCATCATTAACGCAGAAAATGATGACAGACCTGCAGACCTGTCACCCAGTGTCAGGGAGTTTATCGAGGACAAAGGAGCATGTGAACGTTTTGCCCTGGATAAAGACACACATGTGGCCAGGTACACATGCTCTGACTTTCAGTTTTGCTGCTTCAATACTTGGGTTAAAAGATGAGGGTTTGGAGGTTAAAGGCCAGGTCGCCAGCCTCAGATATGTGGGCACATGGGATATTGGGCGAGTGGAGCTTTGTGAGAGGGCCTGGGAGGAGTGGGAAGGGAACCAGTGTGGAACAGGGCGTGGCTCGTGTGTTGGAGACAATGCTAAGGAAATTTAGGTACTTAGAAATTTAGGCACTATCAGTCACTGGGAATTATTTCATGATCATTTTAGATAGGATTGAATAAAGAGTGACACCCCCAGGCTCACAAAGCTCCATGCTCCGCCTGACCCGGGCCAGCACGTAGCCGTGACTGTTTGGTGCCCAGGACTCGCTCGGGCTGAGCTCGGAGCCTGCTCTGGGGTGCACTGAAATCCTCCCTGCCCCAGCAGCCGCCAGCCCGGCCCCTCCGCTCCCCAGAGCAGCACTGCTGCCCTCACCTGCCCCCTCCTCCTGCTGGTAGTCCGTTCGGCTTCTTTCTGACTCCTGATACTCCACTGTTGCAGGTTTCTCTACGAATATTCCAGGAGACACCCTGAATTCTCAGCTCAAATGCTTTTAAGAATTCGTAAAGGCTACGAGGACCTGCTGAAGGAGTGCTGCCAGAGCGGGGCTCCCGCCAACTGCTGCCGCAGAGGGGTGGGTGCCCGGTGGCCTTCACATGTCGCACTACTGGTGGACCTGGCTACCTGGTGACTATTCCCCTTCCATATCTAGGGCCACAGCTCCTGTAACAACCCCAGCCAATATTACAAAACCTGACTGACTCCCATATGGAAAAAGCAGTCCCATGGCATTAAAAATGAGGGGTACCTGTCAGGCGAGAGGTGGTTGTAGCTGTCCAGGCCTTCCCAGGAGGCAGTGGGGTGTTCCACCTGCCCCCTGCTGTGACAACATACGTTGACTGTTTTTTTTTCCAGGAGGAAGAACTGAAGAAACATGTTTATGAAACTCAAAGTGTCATGAAGACAAGCTGTGGCATATACAAGGAGAAAGGAGATTACTATTTCCAAAATGAGTATGACATTTTCCTTTGCCTACATTTCTCCTGTACCTGCTGGGCACAACTCAGGCTGGTGTAAAGCCACATATGGCAAAAAAGCTAAAAGAAACCACTCAAATATTTTGACCGACATATTACCGGCTTCTGGAATTTTCTTTTCTCTCTTCCAAACCAATGTTCTGGCCTCTTGGGAGTTCTCTCCTTTACCCAACTCATGAAACACTGAAGTGACAACTCGATCAATCTCCTATCCATGTTTTTGATGGTGTTCTTGCTTCATAGCTGCACTTTGAACTCTGAGCTCCATCTTAAGAGTCATAGATTTGGCCAAAAGACAATTGCTGTGTCTTTTGCAAAAGACTTGGCTCCCTCCACCTCCTGAAGCAGATGTAACCGTCACCAACCATAACAAAAATATAACTCCAGGAGAGGGAGCAAAACCCCACAAAGTGCAGGCACAAGCCTCTTGGAGGCACTTTCACCCCTATTTGCAATGTTAATCAGCACGTGCCTCAGTTAAGGTGTGTAAGTGGTGTGAGGGAAACCTCTGAACTGCTGCCTGTGTAGAGCGAGGCCTCAAACCCACTTCCACTTACCTACATGAGTTAATAAACACCAGCCTTAGTCCTGCCCTTCTACGCCTGAGCTTTCCATGGGGTTTGGCTGGAGCTTTGCACCAGCAAAGGCAACGGCTTGCTCATTGCTGCTTGGTGGAACAAAGCCACTGACATCCAAGAAATTTTAATTTCAGGCTTCTCATGAGCTTCACCAAGAAGATGCCTCAGCTGACATCTGCAGAGCTGATCAAGTTCACCAAGCAAATGACCACAATTGGCTCCAAGTGCTGCCAGCTGAGCCAGGACAAGCTACTGCCTTGTGCTGAGGAGAACGTGAGTATCCAAGTACTTCCAAAGCCCCCCACTTGTGAGACATCACCTTTACGAGCACAGCTGAACACACCTGCAGAAAGGCAGTGGCTCCGACGCCAGCCTGCTTCCAGGTGGGAATCTCATCATTTTAGAGACCTGGCACACAGAAACTGCAAATACATATTTCCTCTGAAAAAAATTGAGACAGTTTTGCGCTAACCGAAGGCAGCCTTGAGTAGCAGTACAAATCATTACCTACCTTACAAACAATATTTAACTCTAATTATCTGTTTTTTTAACTTTACTAAGAGCTATGTTTCAGGGGATTTTGAAACTGAAAAAAAAGTAACATTAAATTGTTTTTTCACTTCTCTTGTTAAAGCTGGATCTTGTGCTTGGAGAAATCTGTAGAAGACACGAGATGGATCCTATAAACCCCGGAGTCTGCCACTGCTGTAGCAGCTCCTATTCCTTCAGGAGGCCGTGCATGGGGAAACTAGAAATTGATGAGAATTACGTGCCCTTGCCCTTGACTCCTGGTCTGTTCACGTTCCACGAAGACCTGTGTACAAGTGAAGAGGAGAAGCTGCAGCACAAGAAGCAGGAGTAAGATGGGGTGGGGCCATGAGCGGACGGGGGATTCAGAAGGGCCAGCAGCAGGCAGTGCTCCCAAGCCATGCGCTCGCCTCATGGGGCTTGCTTGGCTTTTCCCCACAGGATGCTCATCAACCTCGTCAAGTACAAGCCCCAGATCACGCCCGAGCAGCTGGCCTCGGTCACAGTGGCCTTTGCTGCCATGAGGGAGCGGTGCTGCTGGGAGGAGAACCGCCAGGCCTGCTTCGCCACACAGGTACTGGTTCCATTGGCACACACCCACCCCTCCCCCAAGCCAACAGGGCAACAAGATGTGGATGCAGGAGTGTGAATTTCTCCCTTAAGCATCAAAACCAGGGCCTGGCCAGCCAGAAGTTCTGCAGAGATGTTTCCGTGGCAAACCATGCTGCCTGCACAAGTAGATCTGTGCACTAGTTGAATGATCACTGGAGAACTTGACCAATTAGCCTTTATTCTCCACTCCTCCATTCTCCTTTTGTTTTCCTTACGTTGTTTTAGGTCCTGGATGGACTTTGGCTCATCTTCACCTTCCAATAACTCTTCTTGTGTCTACTTCTCAGTTCGCTCTCCTTGATACATTTCTGAACTGAACTTAAAGAACCCTGCCACAACCCTGGTACCTCTCCCTCTCTGCCACATCTTGGTCTTGCTTTAAATGGTAAACCACTGGAAAGTCTCTCTTCTTTTAATCAGGAATTTCCACTTCTGAGTACACCCAAACAACTGATCTGCAAAGAACCACTCTAACGCTTCCCAATAGAATTTTATGTCTGTATTTCTCTGACAAACAGCAAGTTTTCTAAAGTAATCTGAGCAGAACAGTAAAAGCAAAACATGTATTAAACAGTGATCCACATGTATGCAGCTCCACACAGACAGCATTTGTACACAGCTTGCAAAGGTGATAGAAGATACCTTGCTGCTGCTGTACTCTGGTTGCTCCTTCACAAGAGCATCCTCTTCCTGCCTCCATTGCTCATGGGTCATTTGCTTTTTTTTCCAGGGTCCAGAACTTATAAAAAAAAGTGAAAAATTGTTGTCAGCGTGAGAAACTTATGCAGCACATTGGAACCTGCTGACACCTGAGCAGCGAGCATGCGTTTTCCAAGTGTTCACGATGCATAAACAGGAACCCCTCACTTATCACCATGGAAAAAACAACATTGTGGCTCTTTCCTCACTCATCTCATGAGGTCATGGAAGTTTCCAGCAGCTCCAGGCCTGCCCCTGCCCTGTCTGCTGTTGTGAGCAAGGTGCAAGAGCTGCCTCAGAGTCAAACCTCAAATTCTTGCACAGAATCTGCTGGGCTGTGGAGTCAGAAACCCAGTCTGTGTGCAAAGCTCAGCTTCTGTAGAAATTAAATATATTTTATTCAAGTAAAGGAGAAACCTGCCTGCAAATTTATTCTCTGACTCCTACCACTTTGATTCAAAATTATCAAGGATATGTAAATTTGAAACCAAAAGAAGCAACTAAAATCTGGTTTAAGTCCAAAGAGAGGGTGCATCAGCCTAAAGAAAGCCACTGAAAGAATAAGTTAAATGGCTGGAAATTTGGTGTTTATGTGTGGTCACCCTCATATGGAATATTATTTCCCTTAAACCAATTAGTCAGACATCAAGACTTAAAACACCTTTGTTATTTTTAACCTAAGGAAGTAAAAACACAAGTGAGATCTGAAAAATGAGAAGGGAAAAATCTGCCTGTGACCACTTCTAAGTTTTTTCAATCATCAAATTATTTCACAAAGAAGAGAACAAGGGCCACAGTCAGTGATGCAGAAATTACACAAAGGAACACTGGAATGGATGGGGGTCACCTGCTTTCATAAGGAAGGCTGCAGGAACTTGGGTTTTCTCTCCTGGGGTAGCACAGATGCAGGGAAGACATAATCTAACTGCTGTCTTTAGGGGAATAAAAAGACAACCCTCCTTTTCCCTCTGCTTTCTATTCCTGCCTGATATTGTCTGGCCAATAATGCTTTGAAATAAACTCCTCCCACCTTCTTGCCTGTGTTTGTCAGAAACAGTCACAGCAGCACCTTCAGAGCACTCACAGCACAGTCACAGCATGGCCTTGTTTCACTCCCCCCAGCCCCAGCCAGCTCCAGCCACTCCACACTGCATTCCCTTGGGATCTGCCAGGCTGCTG